GGCCGCGAGCGCAGCCACACGGCCGTCTACGCGGTGTGCGGCGTCGCCGCGCTGCTCGTGCTGGCCGGCATCGGGGCGCGCCTGGGCCTGGAGAGGGCGCACAGCCCGCGCGCGCGGCGCACCGTCACCAGGTGAGCGCGCGCCAGCCGGGGCCCGGGTCCCCGCCCGCCCCTCCTGGAAGGTCCTTCCCGAAGGGTGGGCGCCCCCTCGCCAGCCTTCATCCTTCCCGCCCGTCTGTAAATTCTGGTCCTCTCAGCGGCACCCTCCTCCTGGTTTTTACTTCCGCTCTCAGTCGCCAGGTCTGTTATTCTCCCCCCATCCGCCGCCGGCCCCCCCCCCCCCCCCACTTCGTGGAGGGAGACAGCTGATACCGTCTCCCCTTGACCTTCCGGAGGGAGCTGGGTGCGGAGCCGCCCTCTCCCGCGGCTCCCTCCTCCTCTGGACTGGTCGCCCCGGACAGAGGGCACAAAAACCGCACCCAAGAAAGGGGGTCTGGGGCCTGAGTCCCACTAGTACCGGGTGGGGGCCATAGCATAGGGCGTCCTAGGTCCCCAGAGTAGGAAAGAGAAGGATGGGGCATTTTCTGTAGCTCTCTTGGGTCTCCCTCCTCTTGCTTCTTTCTCCACTTTTTCGCCTCTCCTTCCGCTTCCCTCCCATCCCCACCCCCATAGCTGTGACTCAGGCCTGACCTTCTTTCCCTGGGGAGAAGGCCTCTCCAATCTGCGCTACTCAGTACCCACCCCCACCCCCCCACCCCAGGCAAGCGTCAGGGTCTCTCCCTGTGTAGAAAGAGGCCTGAAACGTGGGGGACACAGATTTGTTGCCGCTGAGGCCAGGACGGGTGCTGGCTGAGTCTGAGCTTTGTGTGAAGCGGGGTCTATAGGACCTGGGTTCCCTTTCTCAGCTAGAATGGGGACTCTGGGATTCTGTGTCCTCACCCTGAAACTCTCACCGACACCCACACACTCACACACTCACATCCCCCCAGCCACCCCCATGTCTTGGGGCCTGTGCCCGCCTCACCTACCCAGATCTGGGCTCCTTTTGGATACGCGACAGGCTGGTATTTAGAGGTGACAATAGAAGCCCCCCAGGCCTGGGTGCTTCCCACCTCATAGACTTGAGGGGCAGGGGATGAGGGCTTCCTAGGCACTCCACAGCACCTCTGTCTCCCAGACCACCTAGCCCACCCCCTACTAGACAGCTGTAGGGCAGAGCTGGGGGGTACTGGCCTCAGCTACTGTGCTGCCTCTGGCGATGTGGAGGCTCTCATCCTGGCTTCTGGATGCTACGGGGGCAGGCCCTGAGTTTGGAGTCCCTCATGCAGGGCCAGGAGGAGAAGACAGGGCATGTCCTTGATTACAACGGGGCAGCAGGAGCTGAGGGCCATGGTGGTGTAGAGCGGTGGCTTGGGCAGTCTAGCTGATGTGTCCACCTAGAACACACTTCATCCACAGGGGACAGTGAAGCAGGTCTGGTGATGCTTTAGGAAGAGCTGGCCCACTCCCGATGTGCTGTGTGGCCTAGGCCAGTCCCTTCCTCTGTCTGGGCTTCAGCTCTCATATGCCCTCTTTTTTCTCCTCTGGGGAGACCTGAAGCCCAACTTGAGCTCATGTGTGGGTATGTGCTGAACCCCCGCCCTCTCCCCCAGTCTCACCCTTAATTCTGCCGTGTTGAGGTCGACGGTCAGCACCCCTCCAGCTCAGAGGGCTTAGAAGGGAATTGGAGTCTGTCCCTAGAGAAAGCTTGTGCAGAGGCCCAGCGGCATGAAAATTACTCAGGTGTTTGGGAGACTGGCAGGTGCGGGCTTGCACAGAGATGAGGCCACACGGGTGGGCAGCTGAGGAGTGGGCAGGACCAGGAGGCTTTCAGCCAAACAGTACCTACCCTAGGTGTCGCACCTCTCGTGTGCTTCTTCATGAATCAGCCATCTGAGTCCTCAGCACCTCGGTCTCCCCCACCCCGCCCCGCCGAGGTGGGAAGGTGAGAGTGAGCCAGAAGAAAATCATGGATTCTGGGCACCAAAGGCAGCTGGCCTGAAGGCTGTGTCTGGCTGTCTGCAGGGAAGGCTCAGTCAGACGCTGTCACAGCTGGGTGGGGCTGGGTGTCCTGGTACCAGGCAGGTGGCTGCCCAAGGTCACATAGTCTTTGGTGCTAGGCTTCCACCCTGGGCTCTCCTGGCTCCTCCCTCCCCTTACGTCTGTTCTCCCCTCCGAGCCTGTGTGACAGCTTTGTCCTGGGACTCGGCAGAAGCCCCTGCTGCAGGAAGGGAATTAGGTTAAGCAGATCAGGAAGGCTTCCTGGAAGAGGAGGGATTCTGGTGGGGTTTGAAGCATAAGTAGGAGTTTTGCAGAACGAGATGGAGGAAAAGATTGTTGGCCCAGGGAGCAGTGCAAGCAAAGTCCAGGAGGCTGATGCACTTGAAGAGCTTTCATTGGGAGAGGAGGCTCCACTCGGAGGGTCTTGGAGAATGGACTCTGGGAGCGGGGGAGTCTTTGGAAAACAAGGTAGCCCTGGTGACATGTGACCCCATTAGAGTTTCCTCACCTGCTCTGGAAGTGGCCATGTGTTGGGGCCACAGGTCATGCCTGACAGTGGAAACTAGATGTGTGAGAACAATCACAGGGAAGAAGGGGGGCCAGATGGGTTGAAAGGGTGACAGTGGTGGGAGGGCTGGCCTTGGGTAGGCCAAGGCCTGGCCAGTGGGGAAGCAGGAGGTTGGGGGGACTGCCTCTCATCACTCTTTCCCCACAGGACACTGACAGAACTTCTGAAGCAGCCGGACCCCCAGGAGCCGCTGCCTCCACCTCTGGGCCCACCTCTGGGTAGCTGTGTCCAGGTGCAGATGGGGGATGGCCTCCCCAGGGGCTCCCCCAAGAACACAGGTGTGCAAGCTGGTGGGCCAGCATATGTCGATCCACAGCACAGGCCTGGGAGCAGAGGAAGGGGTGTGTTGAGGGGTAAGAGGCTCTTAGCGCTTTCACAATTGGAACGAGCTGCCTGCCTCTGCAGGCGTGTGAGTCGGGGCTGGGCAAGCCGGTCAGCTCCCCTTGGTGGAGGGAGACCCTCTGAGGTGTCCAGCAGCTTCCGGTCAAGGGGACTCTGTGAGGAAGCTTCCAGATTCAGGGATCTGGAATCAGGCTGTGGTTCTAGGCCTTGGCTCAGTGCCCCGGGGTCAGCTTCGCACCAGCCTATGGACGCCTGTGGGCCTTTTCCTCCAGGCTGGTGCCTCCCTCTTGGGCTCTTGCCGGTGAGGCAGCAATCCCGCTCCCCTCCCCTGTATGGGTTCTAATTTTCAGACGTTAACTCCATCTCCTGAGAAGCAGGTCCTGGGACCCGATGCCTGGCCCAAGCTGAACATGCTGAGGAGTCATCCATCAGGCTAGCACCCACTCAGGGCTGGCTGCTATTTTTTTTTTTTTTTAATTTTTAAATGTTTATTTTTGAGAGAGACAGAGACAGACTGTGAGCAGGTTAGGGGCAGAGAGAGAGGGAGACACAGGATCCGAAGCAGGCTCCAGGCTCCCAGCCGTCAGCACAGAGCCCGATGCGGGGCTGGAACTCACGAGCTGTGAGATCATGACCTGAGCTGAAGTCGGAGGCTCAATCGACTGAGCCACCCAGGCGCCCCAGGGCTGGCTGCTATTAATCGCGTTATTCTGAGCCAGGCCCTTTTCCAGGCGTTGGCGATTCTGCCATCAGGTTAGGTTTGGCTCTCAGTCCCGCCCAAGTAACCATCCCCCAAGTTCTCACTGGGGAGGGGGCCGCGAAGAGGTGGTTGTGCAGGTGGAGAATGTCTTCCTGTCAGCAGGCCGGCTCTCCTCTTCCCCCTCCCCGCTCCAGACAAGAAACGCCCCAACAACGTGCCCCTGGGGTCAGCGACACCAGGACCCCTGCGTGGCCCCAGGCTGCAGGACGGCGGCAGCATGACGCTGCAGCGGGACTACGCCAAGTACGCCACCCTCAAGGCAGCCGCGCTCAAGGCCGCAGGTGAGTGGCCGGGTCTGTGCGGGAGCGCCGGGCGCTGCGCCCCGGGTATCCAAGCTCCTAGATGACAAGGCCTGGGTCCTGGTTCGAGTTCCACAGTTGCCAGCCTTGCGGGTCAGCGCTCCAGCCAAATATTGTATCGGGCCTACGCAGCCAGTCGGCTCCCGCGCCTCGGCCGTGTCGCGCACCCTCGCCGGGCCACCAGGCTGTACCCCACCGAGCCCGGGGCGTGAAAACCCGCGTCTCCCAAGGCGGGTCCCGGGCCTGTCCCGCCCGCGAGGCCTGACTTTCCCTGTCCCACCCAAGAGAGGGCTAGACCCCGCCCCTGAGGCGTGGCTTCTCCCTGCCCCGCCCCGGGGCCTCTGGGACCCCGCCCCCCGGCCCTGACCTCGCCCCCTGGCTCGTCCCCACTATCCCCGCAGAAGCCACCCCGCCGGATTTCTACCAGCGGTTCCCTGCAACCGAACCTGCCCCGCTGACCGTCCCGGCGCGGCCCCAGCGGCCCCGCGAGGACTTGCCGGCGCTGCTCGACGCCTGCCCCTGGGCCCCGCCGGGCTACGCGCCCCCCGCCGGCCTTGCTCCTTCGGGCCACTACAAGGCCTGGATCGCCGGCCGCCTGGCCCGGCCCGCCCCCCGCGGCCACCTGGCGGCTCAGGCCTCCCCCGCACCCCGGCGGCCCGGCCACGCGCCCCGGCGCCAGTTCAGCGTGGAGAAGCCGCCCGAGGCCTTCGGCCCGCAGCCCCCTGGACTTTACGGCAGTGCAGGCCGCGGGCCCCGGCACCTGAGCACCAACAGCAAAGCTGAGGTCACCGTGTGAAGACAGCCGCTGGTTCTCCCGAATCATCGCAATCTCCGGGGCGCCCTCATCTGCCTGGAGGCCGCCGTGGGCCGGTTCCCGGGGCCCATACCGTGGGGGAGGAGAGGCGCCGGCCGTGGAAGGCCAGCCTGCCCTTATGCCTGCCCAAACTGGACTGGGGCCTTGGAGCCTGCAGGGCTAAGAAGGGGCCCACTGGGTGAGGCCAGTGGTTCTGTCCTTGGGGCCTTAGGGCCAGGGTTCCTCGTGTAAATATAAAGCCTTTTCTGTGGCTCCCATCCCTGAGAATAAAGGAGCCCCAGCTTGGCTCTGAGAGGCACGGATGGTGGAAGCATTGGTCATTGACTGGACAGACGGCAGTACGGGCAGAGGGCACAGCGTGTGCAAGAGCAAAGGACTGCTCCTGAGAGCTGGCGGGCAAGTGTCCTGGGAGCCAGGGAGAGGTGGCTGGAGAGGGTAGTCAGGGCTGAATGCCAAACTTAATGTCCATACCAGTGGGAGCCATGGGGGAGGGAGCGCTTGGGCCCCAGCCACCTGGAGGCTCCCGAGCACAGGGGAGACGGCTGTGGGGAGCCTGAGGCCCCCTGGAGGGTCCATGCCCCTTACTGGAGGTGAGCCCCTTCCGGCCAGTCACTCTACATCTTGAGTTGGTTAAACCTAGCTGATTCTCACTGACACGGTCTGGCCCTGAGCCGGCACCTGGCTTGCAGGCCACTTGGCCAGCTTGGTCCAGGGCCACCCCCCTAATGGGTGTGGGCAGTGGGCCAAGTGGACAGCTGGTGCTCAGGATGGGGGAGCCTCCTCCCAGTAGCTGCTGTAGGGGGGAAAGGGGATGGGGATGCTGGACGCGGAGCCTTGGCAACGACCCCACCGGGGTGCTCACACAGGCTTGCATTGCCAGCTCCCCCTTCCTGCCAGGTGGGCTCTGGATAGCTGGCTGTGGCTCAGGGCATTGCCAGCAGCCTGGGTGCATCGAGTTCCTTTGTGCCAGGGATGGTTGGGAGGTTGAGGTCTGGGTTATGTCCCTCACTGTGTGACCTCAGCAAAAGCCACCCAGTTGGGCCTCTGTTTCCCTCCTGTGTGCCCTGGGCATTATATATATATATATATATATATGCTGTTTTAATAACAATGGCCACCATCTATTGCTGTTTCTTTTATTTAATCCTTGCAAAAGCCCTATGGGTGTGTGGCTTTACAGATGAGGAAATTGAGGTTTTGAGACCCAAGTAACTTGCCAAGGTCACCCCGCTGATTAGGACTCCTGTCCTCTGCCGCTGTGAACCTGATGAGCGGCAGGCAGGGCACTGTGGGGAAGAGGAAAGGTATGAACGTGTGTGCTGGCAGGGAAGGGCTCTGCTCCGGAGGCTCATGGTCTCAGATCTTCCTCCTGCCGCACGGGGCCACCCTGAGGCCCCCCAACCCCCAGCTCTTCACCTGTGACAGGGCCCGCCTCACTAGCTCTTCTGGCTTTTGAGGAAACCAAGGCTCAGAAGCCCCAGGACAGAAGAGAGTCAAGAGTCTGCGGTCCTGCCTGCAGTGAGGGCCCAGTGGCTTTAGGGGAGAGAGCCCTCACACCCTCAACTGGGGGTACGGTGCCCCGGGGCCTATCTGGCAGCTGCGTAGAGGGAGGTGGAAGGGGGGTGGGTGCTGAGTCATGGAGCCTGCCAAGATTCGAAAGATCAGGTTCCTGGGTCATCGGCCACTCACAGCCACCCACCCTGGTGACACAGGCCTTGACGGGGCTTTGTTGGGAGGTGGGTGCAACCCCTTGCTCATTCGCAGTCCCCAGGACCCTAGATCTCCATCCCAGGACTGCCCTTCGGAGAAGACTTATTTCTCAGCCAGGCCAGGTCACTGACCTTGCTCTCCATGCTCCATGCTCATCCCCAGGTCACTCCGGACTCCTCCGCTTCCAGCCCACTGCTGCTCCTCGTGGTCTTGCCTCTCGCCAGCCTCATAAGGCACTTAACTGTACATGGAACTTTGTGTGTGTCATGTCACTGAAACTGGCCAACACGTCTATGGGCACTTAAAGGCAGGGACCGTCATCCCTGTGGGGCACACGTGGAAGAGGAGGCAGACAGAGGTGATGTCCTGCCCCAGGCGACCAGCTGGGTACAGGAGCTGGACCTGGATGTGACTTGTGGGCAGTGAGCCCTCAGGGGGGGATGGGGATACAGCCAGTAGCGGACAGATTTCTCTCTGAGGGGTGAACACGCATGGGCTTGGCACCCCAAATCTGAAACAGCCGCTGCTGTGAGTGGCCAGCTGTGTCCTGGATACAGTGGCCTCTGACCCAAGCAGCACCTCTGGCTGCCCTTTTATCCCAGACTCTGTTCCAGACTCTGTTCCAGCCCAGGAGTGCGCACCAGCAGCCGGCGTTGTAAGGAAGCGGGTGGATGGTCGAGAAAGGTCCTTCCAAATGAAACCTTCCAGGAGCCTCTCAGCAGAGAAGGAGGGGCTGTCCTCAGTCCCGGACCCACCAGAGGCCAAGCCTTGCAGCCACCTGGCTGAATCACCACGGCGGTCACACTACAGACCCTCACACGCCTCATTCTGGGTGGTACCAATCTGTTTATTGAATAACCTACATCCAGGACACAGTGAACGATTCCATATCAAGGAAGCCATAGGTGTATCCCCCTTTCAGCGAAAAACTACCCCCTCCCACCCCTAAACAATAATGAGAAAAGGCACGGTATATACACATGACACAAGGGCTGGCTCGCCTGGTGGGCAGGGGCCACGACTTACAGTGTGTGGGGGGAGGGGCAGCAGGGAAAGAACGTGGGTAAGGTCCAAGCTGAGCCACTCTAGCCTGTCCTCAGCATCGGGGGGAGCCCCCGCCCATTCTCTACCCCAACTGGCCTGAGGGGTGAGGAACACAGGCAGGAAGGGAGGGAAGGCAGCCCCTCTCAGCCTCCCGGAAGGTTCTGAGGTCTCAGGCAGTCCTCAGGTCCTGGGAGAAATGGCCTCAGGGGCTGGGCACCAAGCCCGGGGATCCAGAAAAGTGGGACCACTTTTCCTCCAAGGACCCTCATCGAGGCAGGGGCCTTTATTCCTAGTGTTTACCCCAAAAAGCGGATTGTCACTGGGGAGAGACTGGGGGTTGGTCCCTGCCACCCTGGCTTATTTTCAGGTCAAGAATTCGGGATAAAAATAGACTGTGGAGGTAGGAGTTGGGGTGGGAGGGAATTGAGAACCCACACTGAAGGCCCCTGGTCCCCAGTCCCAATGGGTGGCTTCATCTCTCCCAGCCCCCTGGGCCTACCCTGAGCTTGCGCTGGCATCCCAGGGGGCGGGGGAGTGGGAAGGAACAGGACAATTAAATAAGATACCATTTATTTTTAAAAAAATTAAAAAATAATGCCGACATTATTTCATCCAACCCCAGGCCTGCCCCCTGCCTCCCACTTGCCTCCCCAGAGCTGGGCTTCCCTCCTACCCTGGCTGTCCTGTGTAATGAAGAGAAAACAATGAACTGGCTTTGTCAGGCACAGGGGAGGGGACACAGACCCAAGGAGAGAAATAAAGATGCCACAGCAACTCAGCCCTGCGTCACGGCAAACCCAAGCACACGGATATAAAAACATCTGTATAAAAAGGGGGAAAGGGGCACGCTGGGCACAGTGCCAAGGGTGAGGCGCTTTGGTGCCCGGAGACCTATGTCCCCCACAGGGAAAGCCTGATAAAAACCAAGAAAGCAGGAAAGGGGGGGTGGTGTCTGGAGGAGAGAAAAGCTGGGGAGGGCTGAGGGCTGGAGGCAGGGACCAGGCAGCTTGGGAGCCCCCTGCCACTTTTAAGTCAGGAAACTCCCCCCCCAATTCCTGCCCTGCTCTTTCCTCTCTCAGACCCATGGGGCCCTGGACCACGTGCATCTGTCTACAGCAGCTTTTGGGGCTCTGCCCAGGGGCCTACCGGGCTGAGGTGGTCCACAAGCCTCCGCAGGCAACAGCTCAGAAGACAAGGCTCATCCCACAACTCCCAGAGGGAGCAGAGAGATCGAGAGACAGGGAGGAGGGAGAGAGACTGAGAGACAGAGGGAGGAGGGGGGCGGGAGGCAGGGGCTGAGGTGGGCAGAACCCAGGAGTCAGGAGGCGGCGATGGCAGTGCCGCCCCCCAACTTGACAATCATCTGCTGGCAGTCGTTGCGTGAGCGCCGGTCGCCCGCCTTCTCCAGGGTGCGGGCTGCCTCGGCCAGCAGCACGGCCCGCTGGCCCGGGGAGGAGAGGAAGGACAGGGGAAGGTGGCGGCAGGCCAGCAGGATGGCGGTGGCCCGCTCTCGCTGGCCGGGCCAGGCGTCCACCTCTCCTGCAGGAACGATGAGGACACGCGTGGAGGAGCCGCTCGCCGAGCTGTTCCAAGGGCTGGCCCTGGACTCGTTTATTGAAACTCAGAGCCAGCCAGTGAGGCGGTGCTGGGGCCGGGACAGCATCCCCAGCCCTCCCAGAATCCCCAGGCCTCCCATCCTCACTCCCGAGGCTGGAGCCACAACCCAACCAAACCCCAGCCCCACAGCGTGGTCATGGATCCTCCCCCGCAACTCAGAGGACCAGCCTCGGGCCGCTGCTATTCTCGCGCCACCTCTGAGGACAACACAGGTGAGGACAGCCACCGGCGTTCTGCCAGGGTGAGTGGCGGGCTGGGGCCCTCCTCCCCTCCCCTCCCCTGCTCAGGCAGGGTCCACACCAGGCCCGGAGCTGGGGCGCAGATAGACTCACCGTGCTTGGTATTCTGGGCGGTCCGGCGGCGTAGACTGTGCTCCAGCAGCTGGTGCGTGCGGGTGGGGCTGGCTCCCGCCATCAGGCGCACAGTGGCTTCGTGCAGGAACACCTGGGGGTGGTGCAGGGGGGACGCACCTGTCTGTATCCCAGTGGATACCTCTCTAGGAGGCATCTCGTCGGCCACCCAACAGTGGCCCTTCTCTCCGCACTACCCTGCCCCGCTCTCCCCTTGGAAGCAACTTCCGTCCTCACTCTGAGCTCCGAAAAAGCCAGACACCTGGAGGAACGGCAGGAATGGGGAGCACAGCATAGGCCAGCTGGAAACAGGCAAGGACGCTCTCCTCTACAGGAGACAAAGAACCCAGACGTGCCCCCGGGGGCTGGAAGAGAAGTGGCCTGGGTGCGGCCAGCCTCGGGCCTTGGGGGTGGCGTCCAGCTTGAAAACAGGCAGAGGTGAGGCTGGGAGGAGGGCGGCAAGAGGAGGGGAACAGCTAGCTGGACTGGCACCAGGGAGGCTCGGTCCTGTTTCCTTCAGTTGTGCGGCTCTTCTGTAAATATGAGTCACTGGGGAACGGGGTGGGGGTGGGGGGCAAGGCCTAGATCTCTAATTCCTTAAATCACAAGGCTCCTTTATACCCCTTCCTATCTCTATCTGTGGGGAGGGTCTCGAGTGCCACTGGGGAAGGCAGTGGGGCCGGGGGAGCCACTAAAGAGTTTCGGCAGGGGAGAGGCAGGTTGGAAACGGTGTCTCAAGAGGAGGCCTCTGATGCCAGCCGTGCCCTGAGCAGACCGGAGGGCCCTGAACCTTGGGGTACACTCCCTCTTTTCCCCAGTGGAGCAGGTTCAGCGGTGATTATGTATGTTTTGCCTGCTGTCTGTCCTGGTTCACTGTGCACAGTGGCCACAATGTGACCCTGGGAGGGACCAAGGAAAAGGCAGACTCACTGAGCCCTTCGCCCCTCATGGACACTAATGGCCTTCTCACTTGAAATTTTAGAAAATAATTCAGGCAAAAACATGTTGAGTACATAACTCTAATTAGCAGTCACAATAAAACAAGCAAGGAAATTATTTGGGTCCAATCAGCCCAATTACACAACTGCCCTGAGAGACTTCTCAGATTCTGTGGCCATCGCCACGGGGATATTGTGTGCAGTCAGGCAGCAGAGCCAAAGCCCCCGGCAACTCAGAACAAGAATGAAATGAAGTGCTAGGGAGATTCCGTCACTCTGACAACAGTTAGGAAATCAAGAGTGGAGCTCTCTCCATGCCCTTCCCACCCCTCCCAGGGCCAGGAGCCCTTCCCATCCCTGCACTTGACACGTGAGGTGCAGTCGGTGCAGGCCCCTGCCTGTGGGCCCTCGGCCTGCTTGCCACACTGCCAGGGCTGGGCACACAGCGGCTACTCAACTAACACAAGCAGAAGAAAGGGATACATGGCAGCTACCCCTGTGCTTGACACAGGGTGACCGGCTGACCTCCGAGGGCCAACTCTGCAACCCCGTGCTGGTGCTTCTAGAACCCCACCTGCCCTCCCCTGCCGGTCGGCTGGGTCTCACCTTGCGGTATGCTGGGCGGAAGCTGTGCGCCAGCCTGCGGAGGCTGCCCAGGTCCCGCTGGAAGCCGGCCAGTTCAGCACCGGATGCGTGGTACGTCTCACCCAGCGCCTGGCTGGCTCCTGCCTGCTTTTGCCAGAGCGCTGTCCTCAGAGATAGTAGCAGGTCACAGGTCAGCAGCTGGACCACCTGGGGGATGAGCCACAAGGGAGGAGACCGGTGACTGACCTATTGCGGGGATAGAGATCCCAGCGGTTATCAGGCCCTCCCAAGCACATCCCTCGGCAGCTCCGGAAGGAAGTGGAGAGTCCCAGAGGGGCAGCCTGGAAAACGCTCCCCCGACAGCAAGAGAAGAGCTGAAGGGCAAACGGGCTCACAGCATCTAGTCCTTTCTATGGCCCCAGGTGGAAGATCTGTTTCTCCCATTCTGTGGGTGAAGAAGTGAGGCCCAGAGAGGGCAGGAGCTTGTGTAGGAGACACGCAGCAGGCACCGGAATAATACCTTCGTGGGCCTGACAGGAAGGCACAGGCTCCTCCCACCTCACAGGAGGTGGCCTCATGGCATGCCCATGCCCCAACTGGGCCGCAGCCCTGCCCCGCAAGTAGGATCAAAGGACCCGAAATGGCAGCATAGCCAGGAGATGGAGGAAGGGAAGGAGGAGGCTCACTTCTACAGAAGGCAGCCAAGGCTCGGCCCCAGTGGTCTCTGGGGTTGGGGAGACAGGAGTCCAAGAAGGCGAAACCACAGACCAGCTGAACACTTGGGTTTAGACCCACTGACCTAAATCAATTGCGGTTTGGCCACCAACTGGCACACAACTGACCCTCTCTCAGCCTCTGTTTCCTCATCCACAAAATGGCACCACAAGGCTACCGTGTTACAGGAGAGCACTGTGCGTGCCTAGTACACCCGGCCTTTGGAAGCACTGTCAATGCCAGCCACCATCAGGCACGGATGCCGCACAGCGCGTGAGTGGGGGACTCACGTACTGTTCGCACGGCACCCATGAGGCTGGGCCATCTGCACGGCTCCCATCAGTACCAGGGGGCAGTGAGAGTGAGGACAAAACAGACTTCCTTGTGAGAGGGGTCCCATGGGGCCCTACAGGTTCCGATGGACTCCCCCAGGAGATTCCTCTTCGTGTCCCTTCACCAGGGCACTGGACCCACCCTGGACTCTGCCTCGTGCCTGCTCGTTGTCTTGTCCCTTCGCCACACTGTTTTCTGGCTGGTGATGGCCTCCCTCTTCAAACCAAGCCTGGCTTTTTTAAAACATTTGTTGTAATGTTTATTTTTTTGAGAGAGAGAGAGAGAGAGAGAGAGAGAGAGAGAGAGAGAGAGAGAGTCAAGCGGGGGAGGGGCAGAGAGAGGGAGACACAGAATCGGAAGCAGGCTCCAGGCTCTGAGCTGTCAGCACAGAGACCTGAGGAGGGGTTCGAACTCAACGAACCGTGAGGTCATGACCCGAGCTGAAGTCGGGCGCTTAACTGACTGAGCCACTCAGGCGCTCCAAGCCTGGCATTTCTAAGAGGTGAGCGCTGGGGGAGCACCTTTGGGTGGTGGGAGCGGCCTGGGGCTGGATTCTGCCCTTTGACAGATGCCAAGCTCCACGGGGTCTCCTCCTTGGCCCATTCTCCCACACAGAACTGCTGTCCAGGAACCCCAGCCCCAAGAGTGCGGCAGCCTCTCGTTTCCCAAAGTCAGCTGAAACTATGTGGTTCCTCCGTGGGCCTTTTCTCTTGGGCCCCTTTGGCACAGTGCTTATTCTGTAGGGCTGGCATGGTTCCGGGCTCCCCCTAGTATCTGGGACTGATACTCACCACCTCTAGCCAGAAGTGCCAACCTAGCTACCTCGGACCAAACCCCAGTGGGGGGCTCAGAGTCTGACCCTCCGGGCCATAGCTCGTCCCTACCTTCACGGAGGGAAACCCAACTCCTGCTGAGTGTGCAGACCGTGCTTCGCTTTTAGCTGTGCACACCCTGCCCCTCCTCTCTCCCGGGGCGGCCAAGCCTTGGGATCCAACAGTGACGGCAGCGCCCCCTACCAAGGCACGGTAGGAAGTCTCTCGAGGGCCAGGCAGGCCTCTGTGATGCACTGTGGAAACATTGCACGGGTACCACCAGAACATGCAATGCAACTACAATGCACCACAGCTGCCCGCTAGGAGGCGGGCACCTGGCCTCAGAGGTGCCCAGGCCCGGTCAGTCGGCTCGGGGTGCGTGTGCGCGCGGCTCGGGGCCCCTTCTAAGGCTGGCCTGAAGTGGTCTGCGGGACTTGTGCAAGCTGCCCGGAGCAGATGCAGAGCCCTGACCGGCTCTGGTTCACCTGGGGCTGGCAGAGCTGAGGACCAGCAGGACCCGGGACTCGGGGAACCCAGCAAAGGCACAGGTGGAAACATGCTCGCCCTGAGGACTCCAAAGGGGCCTAACTGGGCCAAGAGGCTATGTCTGGGGAAAGGCACCGCTTGCCCGGTTTGTCTTTGGGACGGCCCCACAGGCCGGGCAAGCTCAAGGTGGGCAGGGGCGTTCCTACCCGCCACAGCTGAGTACCTCCCCCTAGGGGCCAGATCAGCCCCCACTCACATGATTGAGGGTGAGGTCGCAGGTGGCCCCGCTAACATTGAGGCTGCTCCACAGGTGGCCACTGGCCCTCTCACAGTGGCAGAAGGAGCTTTGCTGCCCATCCGCCTTCCCGGAGAGTGAAGTGTGCATGGCTCTGCAGGTGTGGAAGACGGCCTTCACCAGGGGGCTCCTGGACAGTGAGAGGGAGGTGAGAGGCAAGAGGTCAGTGAGTGTCCCTCGGGCGGCATGAGGAAGAGCCTGAGCCGGTGACACATGGGTCTGTCCACTCACGTGCGGCCACAATGGCTCCAGATCGGAGATGCCGGGGCCCTGAATGAGGGCGGGCTCCCCAGCCCTACAGCCTCCTTCATTGTTGAGTATTGCTAGAGCCCCAGGCCTGGCGATGCAGCAGTGGGCAACCCAAGTCTCTGCCTGCAGGTGCTCACTTTCGAGTGCGGGAGTCAGATAATAAATGCACTGAACACTGAACATGTAATGCCAGGCGGAGCAAGCGCCATGAAGGGAAGCTAAGCAGAGGAAGAAGGTGGCATCTTATAAGGGATAGTGGTCAAGGATGTCCTTGCTGGAAAAGTAACATTTGGGCAGAGATCTGAAGGAATAGGGGAGTGAGTCGTGTGGCATTCTGGGAGGGTTCCAGACAGAGGTGCAACATGTGCAAAGGCCTGGAGTCTCTGATGCGTGGGAGAATATCCAGGGGCCAGAGGCTGGAGGGAAGAAACCAGGGGGCAGCACAGGGAGGGCAGCTGCAGGCCATTCACGGCTGAACAAGGCCCTTCTCAGCCTAGCCATGGCCCCCCCGTCCCGCATCCACCTCGGACTCTGCTCCAGGATGCAGGCATCGGCAGACCAGCTCTTTTTCCTTTCCCCCTTCTGTGCCTCTGCTGACGTGGGTGCACAGGAGTGTCCTGTCTCACCAACTTGTCTCCTGAGACTTATTCCACTTGCTGTGTTCCCGGGGCTGCCTTCTCCTGTCCTGCCCTCTATAAGCCTCCTCAGGCTACCCACTGGGTCAGGCCCTTTGTACTCACCTCTGCTCCCCTCAACACCAACCTGTGGTTATGGGCCTCCCTCCCTCTGGCCCAGAACCCCTCCCAGTGAAGAGTTGCACTGGCTGCTTCACAGAAGCCACCACTGGTCTGGCAAAGGCAATGGCACGAGCTGCCCACAGGAGAGAGCACCTCTGCAGGTCGGGCCACTATCTATCTGCTTATGGCCGCAACTTGCTCTCTTGTCTACTGCTGCCTCTCAGAGCCCAGAACACAGCTGGGCACCAAGGGGGCCCTCAGTTAAGTATCTACTAAATAAACAATGGAATCATGGAAGGGGCGCAGGAGACCCAGGAACGGGGCACATGGCCGAGAGTCAGGGATCAGAGACCCAGCTCAACCACCAGGATTACCACTAAGGAGCCACCTAAAACAGTCATTCGAACAATTTGTGTCTCAGTTTCCTCATCTGTAAAGTGGCCATAATCCTACTTGCTGCCACCTGAGATGACACAAAGTATGGACTCCATTATTTGTGCCTGCTCTCTGAGGGGCCATTCCCCCAGAAGGTGGGTATTAAGCTCTCCAGAGAAAAGTAGCTTCTTTTCATAGAGCAGATCGGGGAGAGACTGGGGAGGCTGGGGTGGGGGAGGGTTCGTTCCCACAGCATCATTATTCCCAAAGAGCAAAGGGTCCTTAGAGTGACTGAATTCAGGGGAAGGAATGTCAGCTGAGGGTCTTAGCTGATTCCAGGGCTCTGCTGCTCACAAATGAGGGGACTCTGGACAATCTACCTGCCATGTCCTCAGGCACACTGGCTGGGAGAATGTAAGGTGGGTGCTCACTGGTCAGGGTACTCAAAACTGGGTTACTTAAATGAAATTGGGGTGTGTGACCTACCTTAGGGAACCTGCCTAGACCTACTTTTCTCAGCTCTTTCCTGTTCTCCTGGTTGAGAGTCTGCGTGACAGGAAATGTTCCGGCCCTGGGTCTGAGGACGGGAACTTTCTGTCTTGGAGCATTGTACAATTTCTCTGGGGTTGCAGAAGACGTTAGGGGCACTCAGATCCAGTCAGAAACAGACAGGGGGTTGCACGTTACTATGGGCCAAATGCCCCAGAGGCAGGCGTTGGGTCCCCAAAGAGGAATGTCAAAAGCTCTCTGGTTATGCCTCGTGCTAAAGCCTTTTAGTGAAGGGCTGATTGGGGCAGAGGGGGTGGGTGTTGACAGGAAGCTGAAAGGAAAGGGGGTACAATGCTGGCACGCGAGAGACGGGCCCTCACAAGCCCTGTGCTGGCCGTGAGCCATCACCACGCTGCCTGGCTGCACCATGAGCTTCTGAAGATGCCGGGAGCCACACTGTGTTCCATCCCCATTAGCCTGTGGCTCCATGAGAATGGGGGACGAGGCCCCGGAAGTAGCGCTGGCAGCTGCTAGGACAACGCACGCAGATGGGCTTGCTTGCCATCGGTTTCTCCGTGCTGCCCTCTTCCTCCCTCTGGCTTCACCTCTCCATCTATTATGTAGTCCCCAAGCTGCGCAACCTTTCACCCCAATGGCCACTCTGCTGACGCACAGAAGTGAGCCTGGCACACCTGGGATTCCCCTGGAGAGAAGCCAGTGAGTGGCCAAGGAGGCTTACGCACTCTGTCATTTCCAGGGCCTTGGGGACACGCTCTGCTTCAGTAAAGTGAGCGCGCACAGCTGCGTCATCTCCCTGGAGCCAGCCGATGGCCATAGTGATGGCAGACGTCCACCACCGACAGATGACATCTGGACCTGGAACGGAACAGCACCAAATGTCGCTCCAGCACCCACACACCTACGGAGCTCAGCCTGGCTGCCTGCACCTAGTTCCCATGTGCACGTGCCATCTTTACCTTCTGGCGATGGGCCAGGGGCCTCTGCGTGGCCCTCTCATAGAGATGCTGGTGGGAGTGCGAGCCAGTACGTCCTTTTGGAAAGTACTGGCAATCTGTATCAAGAGCCTTAAAGATGCCCACTCCTATTACTCTAGTAACTCTAGTAATCCCGTTTGGGGCAGTCTATCACCAAAAAAAAAATGGCCTAGAGAAAAAAAGTACAGCAAAGACGTTCACTGTCATGTAATTTTTAAGGTAAGTGCTGGAAACGTCATGAATCTCTAATGAAGTCACAAAGAGTGGAGTTTCTCAAGTGTTTCCAGTAAGAGGCTGTGGTTAGAATCTTCAGTGTTTTCTTCTCAGAGGCTCAGCTTTCTCAGCTGTAGAATTACGGTGCTAGTGATCTCGCGATGCCAGGGGTGGCGGGGCAGGAAGTGGAAGCGTAAGATAAAAGGCGGAAGAGCCTGTGCTTTTCTAAAGACAGGCTGCAGGGTCAGGGGTCACGATGGGGTGGCTGCTTTTCTGGAATCCTTCCCTCCCTGGCGAGAGTGGCCAGAAGAGAGCCTGAAGGCCCCCCGCTCCCAGCAGCCTCGGAAACAGCTGCTGTGCTATCATCAGCCTGATGGCCATCCAGGGACAGAAGCAAAGAATGTCAGTCAGCGGGCCGCACTGGCTCACCCAATGGGCAGCTGCTGAGCAGTAAAGATACCCGGATGAAAAGTCTCTTCAGCAGAGACTGTCAGACCCAAAAGCAGCCTCAGGGCCACCGTACATCAACAAGTGAGCCCCTGGTGTCCGGACCACTTGTTGCCCAGTCTGGGTGTTTGGGAAAGTTCCAAGGAAAGATATTCACTGCTCATCGTCCCACTTCTAGGAGAATCTTCATTTCTTGTCCCCAGAATGCCACCCAGCAGGGGGTAACTGTGTGTTGGAGCCACGTGGGGCCATAGATACACACCTCAGATCCAGAGAAGATTCTCAAGTGAACACTCACAACTGACCTGGGCCCGCTGGGGCAAAAGGGCTGTGAAACTGAATTAAGCAACATGAGGCCTGAAGAGCCACCCTGCAAAGTGCTTACCAAGGGCTGACTTGAGCACAGAATTGCTGGAGAAGGGTGGTGTCACAATCCCCACAGAGTCCACAAAAGAATTAAGTAATTTCAGGTACTCCAGAGCATTAGAGAACTCACTAGAAAGAAAAGAAACAGTTCCATGGTACATCAGAATGTACAGAAGGACCATGCTCATGCCTGGCTTCGGCGTTCCAGTTCCAAGACCCAATGGCTATATTGGCCTCTGCTCCCCCTGGCCCCAATCACACCAGGCACACCCTAAGCCCTGTCCCCACCACTGACACCATTCACAGTCTCCACAGGCTTTCATTCTTCACACGTCTGGGCTGTTCCAGATGCTCCTCCCCTCAAGGCCTAGTTCAAATGTCACCTCCTCCTCCAAGTTCGCTGATCTCACCGGCAGAGCTGCCCTCCCTTCCCCGCTAAGGTGCACTCCAGTCAGGACCTGGGCCTTGTAGGAGAGTGACTCTGGCACCTGTCTGCCCCTCAGCTCTTACTCTGAGGAAGAAAGACTGTGCTTAATAGCTCTGTAAGAATAAGAAATTGCTTGGCACGCCGCATAAAGGTCTGAGGCCCCCAGATGTCCGCCCTCTGCTCAGCCCTCCACCTTCCATTCCTATGCCCTCAACAGGCCCCCCCGCCACCCCACTGCCAAAAGCAAAGCAACCTGATCACATCTCTGATCTGCTCCGAGAACTGCCTCTGCTTGGTGAAGGGATGGGGGCAAGGAGAAAGAGGGGGGAAGTGGCATACCCGGTATGGGAGGAAAGGGCACAGAGGTCAGGTCAAGGGACTCTTGTGAGGCTGCCAGGTTTGAGAAATACCCTGGAATCATTCGATTTCCCTACAGACCCTACACTAGGGATTGTTTGCTTCCAGGAACGTGGGCCTCCGGTTGCCCCCAAGCTTCCTGGGCAGTTGCCTGAGGCAGGGGCCCATTCTGGGGACATTACCAGCTCTCTTCTTCCTGTTCTCCCGCCTTCTTCTTGGCCTGAGGCTTCACCAACGACTCAACAGCTCGTTCCAGCAGGTTCTTGCAGAAGGCCTGGTGGACCTGGGCAATGGGGTCAGCTGAAGAAGAGGGGAGAGGCCTGAAAGGTTAGATAGTCTCATCATGAGCCCATCTTTGTCTTTGCAGAGAAAACAGAGGGTACTGAGAGGACCCCGAGAAACAGCTATCCGCTCTGAATGGGGATCGAACCCCCTTCTCAACCAAAGCCCACAACCACCTTGTTAGATAGTTGGAAGGTGGGGGGAGGCATGTGCGAGGGGTGCTGGGTCTCCTGGCACAGTATTCAGTACTTTCCTTCAAGGTTGGGGCTGCAAGCCTTATCAGAAAACCGAAAATGGGCAGGAGGACGGCCAGCTGAGAACAAAGTGGTGGCCGCTGCCCTGACAGGACACAGAAGCCCTGCTCCTGTTTTCCAGACCTCTGCGGCCAGCGACGGTCTGGCTGCGCTGATGAAACAAGTGGCCTTGCAAAGCTCGCCACGGCTGTCACAGCCAAGTCACCACTGGCAGGCCCAAAGTGGGGTGGCACCAGCCCCTCCCTCCCCTCACACGTACAGACACGGGGGCCTCCATCCGACCAGGACAGGGAGGCAGGACACTTCTGAGCACGTTCTGGGCCTAGAAACAGAGTCTGCACGAGGCGAGAAAGCCAGTGGAAGTCTGTGGTATAGACCAAACAGACCGTGAGGATGGGGTTGAGACTTAAGACTGCTTTTACTTTTATCCTCCCTTTTTGGTGTCGTGCACCGAAACTTCTTATATCACACAACACAGTTGTTTTTTAAAACAGGATAGCAGGGGCGCCTGGGTGGCGCAGTCGGTTAAGCGTCCGACTTCAGCCAGGTCACGATCTCGCGGTCCGTGAGTTCGAGCCCCGCGTCGGGCTCTGGGCTGATGGCCCAGAGCCTGGAGCCTGTTTCCGATTCTGTGTCTCCCTCTCTCTCTGCCCCTCGCCCGTTCATGCTCTGTCTCTCTCTGTCCCAAAAATAAATAATAAAACGTTGAAAAAAAAAAAATTAAAAAAAAAAAAAAAAAACAGGATAGCAGAAGCTCCCACACACGCCGTACCTGCAGAACACGCCGCACTCTCCCGAGGCCCCCACTTTCGAGAAAGGGGAAAGCACACAGAAAGCAGAAAGCCTACCGCTCGAGTCTGAGCACTGGGCGAGTCGCCTCCAATCACTGTCAAACACCAGGGACGGCAAGCCAGCCTCTCCTCTGATGCCTGGAGCCCTGTCCCTGCCACCACTCTAAGCACTTGCTGACCGCCTGTCGCCTATTGTTCTCTAACTGCTCCATGTCTGCTTTCCAGTGGGACCAGGAGGCCGGGCCCAGTGAGCAGCAGCCCCACACATCTTTTGTCTCCAAAGCACCCAGAACAAGGGCAAGAACGGCGTGACTGATGTGAGGACCATGGGATCTGAATGTCAGAGAGAGGCGCTGCTCACCAGGCTTGGGACCTCCCTGAGCTTTGGGGAAAACAAGACTGAGACCACCTGTGTCCCCCATGCATATGGAGCACAGTCCCCCTGAAGTACTGGTGCGTCTCATGGCTCTCCCAATACCCGGTGGCTGCAAAGGTGTTCTCACCTGGGTTCCTCTGGGCACAGTACAGACTCTCCTTGGCAGCCGACTTCACCGACCAGCTCCGCTCCATGAAAAACTTCTGGCCCAGGGGGTGGCAGAGCCAGCGCAGTGAGTCAGGGACAGCGCTGCGCTCGGGGCCACACAGGCTCTGGGCTCTGCTGAGGAAGTAGCTCTGTGGAAGGACACGGGCCAGGGGTAACACTGGGGTGGCAGAACGCTGGCTGTGGCCACCATGGGGCCATCAAAAAGCGCCACCGTGGTGGAGGCAGGCTGAGGAAAGGAGGTCAACAGGAGGGCTGGGACGCTCACAGACCTGGAGGTAAATGCCACTACTGTAACTAGGGCAAGTGGCTCTGGTGGAGCCGTCTGGACTTGGTGACCAGGTCCAACCTCCAGCAGGAGGGTTGGACAGGGCTTCGGGGCTCCTGTGGGGCCCCCGCCGCACCCTGCCCTGCTGGGTCTGCCTAATCCTCCTGGAAGCTCCCTCTGGCCCTGCTGGCATTCAACCTGCAGGGGAGGGGGTGCTTCATCGAGGAGGGGTCGCGGAGGCCTCCCGGCTGCACGCCCACTCTCAGCCCTGTGAGCACCTGTGTCCAGGCCAGGCGGCCCCTTGGATCCTGGGACTTTTCTGATCGGTCATTTTAATTACTTTTGTGGTATTTTTAGACAAAACCATGTTCTGCTCTAATTTTTCTTCTCTTTTACCTTTGAGTATGAAGAGTATATATAGTAAAGGCACACGGCAAGTGACTAGTAACTGTTAGTTACACCATCATCACACTGGAAAGCACGAGAGTGAAGGAGTAGCCCTGAGGCTTGTCCCAGGACCCATGCAGGCATGCATGCCTGTGGATGATGCCTCTCCCCCCAGAGTTGGCCTGTCAAGGGCTTTATCTGGCCCCCTAAAGAGACCTGCACCCCAGCCCTAGATGAGCCCTTGATGTGAACACCAGCTGGTGAGGAAGGATGAAGAAAGACTTTGAAAGCCGCTTTGCTGGGCAATTCGAAGCCAGTGCCCGTCTCCCCAGCCCCTCCTCTGCCGCAGGGGAGCATCACTCTAGGTCCCCAGGAATCAGAGTTGCAGGCATTAGGCCGTCTACCCATGTTTTCAGAAGTTCTATCACTTATCGAGTGAGGATATTTTTATTCCAAAACCCCTGATTTCCAACCCACAAAACCACTCAGTGCAGGCTAATCTGAATGAGGAGCTGAGCAGAGAAGGATAGGGGGGAGGGAGAAGCATAAGACCCAGAGCTCAGGGAACCTGGACGAGGGGCTGCTGGGACAGGCTTGCAGATGTAAACCTTCATACTTCCGCCCTTGCCTCCACAATGAGGGCAGCGCCTCCTTGTCCAGTTCAGTCTGATGGTTCTGACCTTTACTGGGCTCTAAGTAGCCATCAGCTAATATAACAGCTTCGGAAGACTTGAATGCCAGGGTCAGAAATAGCACCACCGAAGTGCCACTCAGGAACATAGACTGAGATGACAGACTCTCTTGGGGGGGGGGTGGGGGGTGGGGGTGGATCTGGCAATTGCTGTCTGAATCTGAGAGAGAATGACCTGGTCAAGCTGCTCTACAGATATACTTGAAGACTATCACAGCACTTAATTCACTGAAGTCTCCAGTCACGGAGCCAACAGCACTACTGGCGTTTCCTCCTCTTTGCTGGCCGCCATATTTGAGACAGGATACTGGAGAACACACGAAGAGGCACCCCTATGACCTTCTCCTGACTCTCAACAAAGCACTTGCTTAATCTGAGCTTGTAACTGCAGTGGAGGAGCCTGAATGGGACAGAGGCTGGGGGTGGGGTGGCAGCAGTCCCAGCGCCTCTTAAGTCAAAGAACCTTCTAACAGTTGCCTGCTAAGCAAGGGAGCACGAGAGCTGCTCCAGGGGAAACGGAAAACAACTGTTCCCTGAGAAGGGCCCAAACGTCAGCAAAAGAAGCAGAAACAAAGCTTGGCCAGGTTGTTTTGCAAGAGGAACCCAGAGAAGCCATTTAGAAAATCATTAAGTTAAAATACATTTTTAGGTTTGATTCTTTTTTGAAAAATTTCTTAAAATGTTTATTTACTTTTGAGAGCGAGAGAGTGCGCATGTGTGAGAGCGGGTGCATGAGTGGGGGGAGGGGCAGAGAAAGAGGGAAACACAGAACTAGAAGCAGGCTCCAGGCTCTGAGCTGTCAGCACGGAGCCCGAAGTGGGGCCCGAACTCACAAACTGAGATCATGACCTGAGCCGAAGTCGGATGCTTAACCGACTGAGCCACCCAGGTGTCCCTAAGCTTAATTCTTGAGAAAAACCTTAGTTGTAAGAAATTTCACTGTGAGTGTGTGTGTAAGCTGGAATTTGGTGATTTGAATTAATAAGAAATATAAATCCTGGGATACAGTCTCCACAGCATAATTTCCAGAAGGAAAACTAAAAAAGTAACTTCCGTTGCTCTTCAATTTGCTTGGCATTATCACCTTATGATAATTTCCCTAAATTTTACAGACACCAGAATCTACCCAAGCTGCGGGTGTGAGCCCCCTCCCCTCTAAGTCATCTGCTAACTGCCAAACTGAGCAGCTGTGGCTGGAGACTCAGAACTGCTTAGATCCCAAGAGCCACCCTGTACCACCCAGCCAGTCCCGATTCCACAGTCCTCCCACACCGGGCTTCCCCTATGGTTCTCAAACTGTGTGCCAAGCACTCTGAAAGCAACATCCTGAACTTGGGAGGGGCGCCACCGGATATTTTACAGGGGATATTTTCTGAGGTAAATAAATACAGCCATGCTCAACACAAGTCAGACACCAGGTAAACTAGTAAATGGGGGTGGTTGGAAGTCTCAATGGGAGATTGCACGACCTTCCTTTGGATGATATCACACCTTTAAGAAGCTGGGTTTTTAGAGGCTGTTGTAATAAAAAGCAAGTGCTGCATGAAAATCACTGTGGAACAGGAGACGAAATTGGTGGTGTTACTCTGATTTCAAAGTTTGAGAAGGTATGTGGTACCCAACAGACACATGTACCCCAGTAGTAAGTAACCATGGTTATCAAGAATAAAAATATTATTTCCTTGGGGCGCCTGGGTGGCTCAGTCGGTTGAGCGTCCGGCTTCGCCTCAGGTCATGATCTCGCAGTCTGTGAGTTTGAGCCCAGCGTTGGGCTCTGTGCTGACAGCTCGGGGCCTGGAGCCTGCTTCGGATTCTGTGTCCCCCCCCCTCTCTCTGCCCTGCCCCACTCGTGCTCTCTGTCTCTGTCTCAGAAATAAATAAAACATTAAAAAAAATATTATTTCTTCTTTCAATTTTGTGTATATTTTTTAATGGCTACTAAATTGTTAAGAGATAAATATGTATCAAGATATCAAGATGTCTGTACCTAATGAATTAAATGGAACTGTTAGGTATTTCTGGGGCGCCTAGGTGGCTAAGTGTCAGACTCTTGATTTCCGCTCAGGTCATGATCTCATGGTTCATGGGTTTGAGCCCCATGTCGGGCTCTGCACTGAGTGTAGAACCTGTTTGGGATTCTCTCTCCCTCTCTCTCAGCCCCTCCCCAACTTGTGCACGCTCTCTCAAAATAAATAAACATTAAAAAAATTAAACAGAACCGTTAGGTATTTCCTTTAGCCCACGGAACCATGAAAAAATTACTGAGACACAAAGGGTGCCATGAGCTGAGAAAGATTGCAAACCTCTGGTCTAAATCATTTTCACAGAGGCCAGCCCTCCACCTGCCTTCAAAGTCTGACTCATTTGCTAGCTAAATATATTTGGCTGAATTCAAAGCTTCTTCTTCCTCTTTAGGAGAGTACTATCTGGGTCTCCTAATCTGTCCCCTCCCAAGAGAAGCAAACAGATGAAAGGGGCAGTTACCTTCCTAGGAATCAGTTCCTCTCCTCTGCCCACCTTACTGAAAATGCAAATTTGGCAATACATCAAGTGTTCCAGATATTTTTGGCCTTTGAGTGAGTGTCACCATCTCTAGAGATTTAACCTCAAGAGACATTTCTACAAGTGGGTGAGGAGAGTGTGTGACGACTCTCTCTGCAGCACCAGAACCGCAAATCCTGGAAACAACCCCAGGGCCCGACAGCAAACGTGCCGAGGTACCAAGTCCCCCGGCGGAATAAGGAGGCAACAAAGAAAGGGGCCCAAGACTTACCGTTTGGTTGAAAAAAGCAAGTGGTAAACCAGGGTTTCTGGTATGATCACACCAAGTAGATTATAATGCATATATATTAGTACATGCAAGAAGAAAATTCTGAGGAAGTACACATCACATTGTTCACTGCTTGTCAGGCATACCAAATCTTTTTGAGGATGGAGCCTCATGGGCAGGGACAGTTTTAAGGGAAACACTTTCCTGATCTTCAGCTGCCACACATACACCTTCCTCAAATGGGCTGAGTCCCTCTGAAGGGTAGCTGCGTCTTGGCAATAAGGACAATCAAAACCCCAGAGGGACTTCTGGGATGACAGGATGATCCTAAAATTTATAGGGGGAGGTAACACTAGTCACTAAAGCTAGAGGGCTGATACATGCAGATATCAGGACATATTAGAAGACTCGACCATTAGGGGTGTGTGGTGTTGTGCAATGAACAGATCAGAGCATCCAGAGGCAGACTCGTTATATACGGACACTTGATTTATGAAAAAATCACTTGGTGCAGAGCAGAACGGAGAGTCATTTTAGTAAGAGTCTGGGGCAGGGAGACATTCAAGTGGAAAAAAAAAAGTAGCTCTTGCATGCCTACCTCCATCTCATACAAAAAATCAACTCCTGGTAGATATGGACTTGGATGTGGAAAAAAAAAGTCCAGTGTCTCGCAGACAACAGAGGAAAGTGTCTTCACAAGTGAGATAGGGCAGAGATTCACTGAACAGGACACAAAGTGTATGTAACGGAAAAGACTAATCATCCGATTTGACAAATATTCAGAACTTGTGCTCATCAGTTGACGCCATTTAGAGAGAGACTAGGCAAGCCCCAGAGGGAGAAAGATCCATACAAAGCACACATCCAACAAAGGTTTGGAGCCAGAACAAAGAACTCCTTGAATCAATAAAAAGACCAGCATCCCAAAGAAATAGGTAGGACTCTTCTGTGGTTTTCACAAAAAAGAAGATCCAAACGGCCAATGAAAAGGTGCTCGACATCACTAATCCCCTGGGAGTTACAAGTGAAAACTATCAGGCACCACCAAAAGGGCCAGAGATGACACTATCCTCTGTTCGGTGGGGATGTGGAGCTGGAACTTTCTTTCATACACTGCTGGCGGAGTGGCAACTGGTACGTCTGCTTTGGGAAACCGTTAAGCAGCGTCTACCAAAGCTGAACATCCACGTAACCGCTGACCTAGCAACACCAGCCCTAGAAATGCAATCTCATGCTCACCAAAAGATGAATGTTCACCGCGGCACTATTCCCAATAACCAAGGACAGGAAACAACTCAGCAGTCCATCTATAAGTCTAGTCATAGAATGGAATACTATAAAGCAATGAGAATAGACCATCCGTAACTATATGCAACAACACATATGAATCTCACACATGACACTGAGCAAAAGCACATACTGTAGGACTCCCCTCGTGCAAAGTTCCGAGGCAAAACATGCGAAGTGATCAGGATGGTGATCACTCTGGCTGGAGAGCTTAGGGGTAGGGGTAGTTTGCTAACTGCAAGGGGGCCCAAGGGACACTTCTGGGGTCCTGGTCATGTTCTGTTCTTGATCTGTCTGCTGGTTTTATGAGTGCATTCACTCTGTGCAGTCACTGAACTGTGCACTTATGATTTACGTACTTTTCTACATGCATGTTATACTTTAACAAAAAGTTTATAAAGGGGCACCTGGGTGGCTCAGTTGGTTAAGCATTCGACTCTTGATTTTGGCTCAGGCCGTGATCTCACAGTTCGTGAGATCAAGCCTCAAGCTGGGCTCTGTGCTGACAGTGCGGGGCCTGCTTGGGATTCCCTCCCTCTCTCTCTCTCCCCCTCCCCTGCTCATACACTCTCTCTCAAAAACAAATAAGCAAACTTTAATAAAAGTTTATAGAAATAACAAATGAAGAGGCAGATTAAACTATGGTGACCGAATTCAGAATAATGGTTATCTTTGTAGGGGGCAGTGTGAGTGAAAGCCTGCAAAAACTTCTGGGCATGATGGGAAGTCCTACTTCTTTTTTTTTTTTTTTTTTGAGAGAGAGAGATCAAGAGAGAGAGAGATCACACAAGCATGAGCGGGGGAGGGGCACAGAGGGAGGGAGAGAGAGAATCCCAAGCAGGCTCCATGCTGTCAGTGCAGAGTCTGATGCAGGGCTCAATCTCAGAAGCTGTGAGATCATGACCTGAGCTGAAAACAAGAGTCAGCACTTAACTGACTGAGCCACCCAGGCACCCTCTTCTTCTATTTTTTCAAAGATTTTATTTTTAAGTACTCTCTACACTCAGCATGGGGCTTGAACTCACAACCCTGAGATCAAGAGTCACATGTTCCACCAACTGAGCCAGTTGGGCGCCCCAGAAGTCCTACTTCTTGGCTCTGGGCAGTTGTTACAAGCTGTAAATTAAAATGTGCACATTTTTCTGTATGTGCATTGTATTTTGATAAAATTAAGGTCTTCAAAACACCTTTGCGGGGGCACGAAGTTACAAGTGTGATAACATGCCTATGTTATCAGACATTAGGACAAACAAATGGAATAGGGAAACAGCCTGGCTGATGCCTACTGCTCTTAGCCTAGATTGGCCTTGCCCGGAAATGCCACCTTGACTTCTCTGAAGACTGGGTTAAGAGCCCAGTGTGTTCTCTGGGCAGCCAAATAAGCCTTGCACTCACCTACTGTCCTTAAGGCCTGTTCCTTGTCTGAATTCCCTGCCAGACTGTGTGCTCCCTGAGGACAGGGCAAATGTCTTGCTCACTGCTGCATTTCCACTGCAGAGGATGCCTGGCCTAGAGCAGGGACTCGGTAACGTTTGCTGAACGAACATGTTATCTAGGGTCACTGAGACAAGATTGAGACACAGAAAGTACACTGGGCTTTCCCATGCTCTCTGTCACCTAGACTGTGGTGACACACTTCAGGAAACATCAGTGTCACCACAGGGCACATTCCTATTCATCAGCTCATCAGTGTCATTACTGAGATACGCCAACAAACGGAGATGTGATCGTTCTGTTCTGAACACGGCTGATGTATTCAGCAGCCTACTCAAAGAGAGCACCGAATAAAACATGCCTGTTTCTGCTGGAGTAAGAAAGCCTGAGGTCAGCAGATGCTGTGAGCTAGTTGATAACAAGGACTGTGAATTAGCCAACTCTGAATTCCCAAGGCTGGCCCCATGCCGGGCACAACGGAGGCGCCTGATAACAGCAGTTCCTGCCCTGGGTCTGACCTGAGTTCCTTGAAGACGTGCACGGTTTCCCGTTTCTGGACTCACAGTGCTGTGATTAAGGTATGTAATCACTACCTTTCTTTGTGAATAAAAACACCAGGAGACACAACCAGAAAATTTCAAAAATCTTTATGACCACAACGGGGCACCTAGGTGGCTCAGTCAGTTAAGCATCTGACTCTTGACTTTGGCTCAGGTCATGATCTCATGGTTTGTGGGTTTGAGCCCCATGTTAGGCTGTGCACTGACAGTGCAGAGACTGCTTGGGATTCTCTCTCTCTACGCCACCCCCCTCTTGCGCTTTCTCTCTCAAAAATAAACTTAAAAAAAAATTTTTTTTTATGACCACTTGAAGAGCAGAAGTCATATATTTAACCCCTTGAATCCAGGTCACTCTGTATCACTGAGTCCATCTTACTTCAGGTGCCAAAATGTCCCACTTCTGCTTATAAGAGCCATAAGGGTGTGGGGTTTTTTTTTTTCTTTTTTTTTTTGGCAGGGGGGGTCTGTTTTGTTCAGTGCCATAAATATTTGTGAAATAGCCTAGTGGATGAATACCTACTCCTCTAGATAGTCAGCACCCAAAGGCAGACCCACACCCGTTTTTGCATCTTAGCTCCTGGCTGGGGAAGGGCGCTTGGTGCAGGTCTGCAGAGGGGACCTGCAGGGTACTCACCGCCAGGAAGCCCAGCTTGCCCCCACAGCGGGTCTTGAGCCCCACGGCAGCAGTCAGATGGATCTCAACCAACATGCTCGGCGGGACTTTCTCTTCTGCACACTCAGCCAGGTTCACGGCGCACAAAGCCATGTGCACATCTGAACAGGCAGATCCTGCAGGAAGCTTCCCTGTGGCAGGCAGACACAGACACTGATGTTAACACATTCCTCCAAACCAAGGTTTTCTCTAGTGCAGTCAGAGTGAGAGCAGAAGGACTGAAGACAGTACTTGGACTCTGTCATCAGATGGTCCTGGATGGGATGCTAGGCTCTGCGACTCAGTAGCTCCTTTCTACCTCATAGGTTCCTTTCTACCTCATAGGCTGTTGGGGACAAGAGAAAATGCATGTTAAGTACCCGGCACATGGCACATGGGACGTATAAATGGGAGCCACTATGACTGCAGGCTGTTGTACGGGACTCGGAGATGTGCACTGCAACATTTTCCAAACAGTGCCAACAGCACAACCATGTTCTGCTAACACACCCTATGCCTCCAAATATCGGAGGAGGTGATAAAAATTAGAAAACAAAGAAAACAAAATTGCCGTTAATTTATTTTCATTTTAAAAGAATCTACAGTATATAAGCACGCATCTTTTTGATGGAGAAGTAACATAAAACAGCCAGGACAGCCAGACACATCACAGGTTAGTAGGTGGAAGGCTAGGAAAAGCTTACTACACCTCCCATATGAGGGTCGCACAGCTCACATGGTGTGACCTTGAAGTCACGGGCCAAAGTGTCCTTGCATAGGCACGGGGGCTCATCAAGGCTGCGAGGCTTTCATGCTGTTTCTTGCTTTGGTCCGCACTACAGGGCTGGGAGGTGGCTAGGGCGAGCAGTCCCCTCGTTTTGCTAAGGGAGGCTCAGCTTCAGGGGTGGCCCCATGTCAAAGGTCCAGACGGTGGCCTCCTGACCTCATTAGCCCCACGTTCTTCCCACGGGGCCACCCTGCCTGCCCCGTCTTTTTATCAGCCCTTACACTTTGTTCTGCACAGGCATCGGGTGTTGGTCTCCCTCAAGAGGCACAATCTGGCTTTCTCTTTTCAGGGGAGGGAGGATGGAAGCGATGTGGGGACCATACTTTAGTCACCTGTCCTCTCAGTGCCTTGTATAAAGCCAGGTACACAGAGCATCCAGCAAATGTGGAGGGAATGAGTGATGGGAACTATCCCAGCTGGTATAGTTCCAGACCCCAGGTGGGGCTCCTCCCTGGGAATGTCCTTCTGCCTGGAAGGCACATCCCCTTCCACACAGCTGGCGTCCTCTACGCATCCTGTCATGCAAAGCCAAGACTTTTCAGAAAGCTTCCTGAAACCCTCCTCAACAAGTACCCCCTCCCTCCCGCCTCCCGACTGAAGCCCCATCCTCTGCTACCACTACCACACTAAACTGTCATTCACTTGCTGACCAGCCTGCCTATCCTTAGAGCAGGAGTTTGTTGAAAGAAATAAATGATATTCCATTGAATATAAGATGACATCAATTTTAAGTTTACTATTAATTTTAGGTACCACTAAGGAAAAAACAGTGCCAATTCACCCATTCCATATCTCTGTGATTCCATATCACTGTGTAAATAAGGGACACAACCCAAGGGTAGAGATGTTAATGTGAAAAAATGTGCATCTTAAACTGATGAGCTGCAGTAACGAGCTATCTTTACAGCCATGAGTGTGGGTGGAAGGCCTGTCTAACCATTCGAGAAGAGTAGTGTAAAAAGGGCTTCAACTGGGACCAAAAACTGGCAAACCAAGCCAGGGTGGAGATGGCACGGGGCACCTTAAGGCCAGCCGGCAGTGGTAGCTGCACCCCCCACCTCACCTGTGATGTGCAGCTGGTGCAGCCTGTGATAGGCCAGGGCTGCGTCCCGGGCGCTGGCCTTAGCTTCGTCCTCGAAGCCTGCTGCAGTGGCTGGGGTGGCCCGCCGGCGCTGGAAGACCTTCTTGAGCAGCCAACGCACCAGGCGCAACTTCTGCAGGCTGTAGCGAATCACATTCCAGGAGAGGCTGCAGGCCAGGTCCAGGCGGGAGGTGGGCAGCGCCCGGCCCAACACTGATAGGCAGGTCTGTAGATTGGCCGCGGCAGCCGCAAAATCCCCCTAGAAAGCAGCAAGAGGTATAATGTTCGCTGGCCTTGCTGTGGCCTTTTTATTTTGCTTTACCAAAAACTTTTACCCTCCCTTCACTCCCTAGATTATCAGAGTAAAAAAATCACTAGGAACCTTATCCTCCAGAAAGAATGATCGCTGACATTTTCATATGTTTTCTCCTGGCTTTTTTTTTTACTAAATTGGGATTGTACTGTGGTCTATCTATGATCAAATATTATTCACAAATTCCCATAGTAGTTTTATACATAAGATGATAAAATGGATTTAGATGATCTTTTAGGCTTTTATGTTCTCAAAGTGTGGTTCCCGGAGACAAGTAGCGTCAGCCCCTGGGATCTTGTTAGAAATGCAAATTCTTGGTCCTCCAGCCCCACCCTCCCCCACCTATAGAAACCGCCTCTCTCTGAGAACCACGGCTTTAGACAAACACATGGCAAAACTACTGTAACCAAGGATCTGGATGAACTACTCTTTGCCAGCCTGAGAGGTTCTAATGGAGCATCTATGGCTCTGTATTGGAAGACCTCTTTCTGCCTCTGTTTCTCTCATCAATGGGAAACAGAACGAAGCCATCCTCTCCTTTCCCGTGTCCTGCGGTGAGTACGACACCCGTATTTCCTCCCTGTACCATTATGGGAAGTGGATCGGGACAAAGGGAGCACCCTCTCCCAGCTGATGCACAGCTTCTAACACACTCTGGTGTGTTAGAACACACCTGCCTCCTGGTCCCTTCTCACCCCCAGGGCCCTCTCACGGCACTTCAAGTAACACCGCTCAGACAGAGGATCCCACAGCTCCAGCGCTCCCGACCCTGGAGTCAATGCCACATCATTTCCATTCCACTTTACGGCTCAAATATTTCCCAAGTCAGTCTTTCCTTTCCATTCCAGGTTCTTACCACCTCTCGACAGGTCTATTCCAGGAGCTGCGACCCTGCCTCTGTGTATTCGGTGCCCCCTCCTCCCAACCCCACACTTCACACAGCTGCCAGAATGACATTCATTAAACACAGACCTGAACCTGCCTTTAAGACACACATCTTGAAATTTTTTTTTTCTGGGAATAGTCCCGCTTCAAGGGATAGGCCCCCAACAACCACATCTACATTCCAGTACCCACAGCCCTCGGCATGGCTGACAGCTCCAGGCTGGTCAATCAGATTCTCTCTTGTGGGCACTGCAGCCTGCAGGAGGGGAGGGTGGCCTGTAGTGTACTGCCGCCAAGGACTGTTCTGCTTCTGGTGCCTCTGACATGTGATGTTTAACTCTTCCTTTGATGCTGTGTGTTGCCCCAGAATCCTCCCCATAAAATTTCCTTTGTTGATTTCTATTTTTTTTTTTTACTTAAAAAAATTTTTTTTCTTTTAATGTTTACTTATTTTGAGAGAGAAAGACAGAGTGGAAGTGGGGGAGGTGCAGAGAGAGAGGGAGACACAGAATCCAAAGCAGGCTCTAGGCTCTGAGATGTCAGCACAGAGCCCAACATGGGGCTGGAACTCGTGAACCATGAGACCATGACCTGAGCTGAAGTCGGACACTTAACTGACTGAGCCACCCAGGCGCCCCTGTTGATTTCTAATTTTTTTTTTTAAATTTCTATTTAAAAAAAAAATTTTTTTTAACGTTTATTTATTTTTGAGACAGAGAGAGACAGAGCGTGAATAGGGGAGGGGCAGAGAGAAGAGAGACACAGAATCTGAAACAGGATCCAGGCTCTGAGCTGTCAGCACAGAGCCCGACGCGGGGCTCGAACTCACGGACCGCGAGATCATGACCTGAGCCGAAGTTGGACGTTTAACCGACTGAGCCACCCAGGCGCCCCTATTTTTTTTTTTTAAATGTTTGTTTACTTTTGAGAGAGAGAAAAGAAAAACAGCTCAAGTGGGGGAGGGGCAGAGAGAGAGGGAGACACAGAATCTGAAGCAGGCTCCAGGCTCCAGGCAGTCAGCAGAGAGCCGGATGTGGGGCTTGAACCAATGAACTGTGAGATCATGACCTGAGCTGAAGTTTGATGCTTAACTGACCGAGCCACCCAGGTGCCCCTCTTTATTGATTTCAAAAGAAAACATTCAGCTAATTTTCCTGCTCAAAAACCTTCCTGGTTCTCCTTAGGAAAAAATCCCCAAATCAGTTACTAGTCAAAGACCTCTCCAATTTGGGCCCTAGATACACTTCCAGCCTTAGCCCTCACCTGTCCCAGACATATCCTATAACTCCAGACATACTGACCCACCTGCTGATCACCAAATATCCCATCTATTCAAGACTTCTCCACCTGGAAGGTCCTCCCTCCCTGACCACTCTCTGCTCAGGTCCCAGATTCCTTCGGCCAGAATTTGTCCTTCCTGCCCCAACCCCTGCAGCACTTTCTTCTTCCTCTGTCACAGCACAGACTGCAGATCCTCCCATGTCCGTGGAATCACTGACACATAGGTGTCCTCTCACCTGCTGCCCTGTGACTGTCAGGGGCAGGGTCCCGTCCTGCTCTTGCCACCCCCAAGCACCTATGACAGGACTTTATACACTGGCTACTCAATGTTAAGTCACTGAGTTATCAGCTGAGCCTGGGGGAGGAAGGGGGGAGGTGGACGGCAGGACTCACCCTGGCGAGGTCCAGGTCTGCCTGCTTTCGGTGCCTCCAGAAGGTGACCGAGGAGCGTGAATGTGGCGGGATCACTGGCTCCCCGTGGACCAGCAGCTTCACAAAGACGCTCAGGACAATCACACCATTCACCAGCCATAAGAGGATCGTTGGCATCATCCAGTCAAACCAGCCCCCAGAGCCTAAAGAGGAACATCTCAGCTGAGCCAGGAGGAAAGGCCTCCCAGAGCAGACGTAGGGGACCGCAGGGCACCTTGTGACCCCCAGCATTTGACAGGTAAGAGCCTTCTACCTCACTTTCAGAAGAAGTGTGGATGACAAGATTGCTTCATTTAGTAACAATGTCTAAATGCTTTAGGTAGGGATCACTATCAGCAAATCTGGGACAGTTCTGTAGCCTAAACAGGAACCCTGTAGCCCTTGTCATTATGGAGCTGGGTGCCACAAAAGTCTGTGTTAGTCAAGGTGGGGTCGGACCACTGGTTTCATGACTCAGGCAAAAATATCACATCTTCCTTCAAATAGGTATACCCCCACTTCCCTTATCCCTGCCCCCATGACAACAGCAGTGTGGGTTCCTGATTTGTTCTGTTCTTACTGAACTTGGGCTTGCCCTGCTACTTCCAAAATGTGGCTTATGCCAGTCCCTACCAGGCCTGCGACAAAAGCCCTTCGGGACCCCGTGAATGAGCAGAGCATTTTGCACACGCAGGGCCCATCTCCTGCCACAGCAGCCCACCCATGCTTTGGTGGCACGAAGGGCCCTCTACCTACCTGACTCAAGGGACAGTATGCTGCGGCCGGAGCCAGAGTACGGGTGCTGGTCAGAGCTGGGGGCCCCTCTCCACCGCAGCAGGGCAGTCAGGGGGTTAAAGGAGAGGCACAGGAAGGTGAGGACACACAGCAGAATTCGAGAGCGGTCCACCATGCCCAGGGCTACAGGAGGAGAGTCCGGCTCATCTTTGACCTTCAAGACAGGGGAGAGAGATTGGAATGAACATCACATGGGTTTTTGCAGCATTTTACTAACATTTATATATGTATTGGAGTCAGACTGGGAGATTTAAATTTAAGACCACCAAATCAGACAGGAATAGAGCCAGGAGGCAACTAAGAAGTCCACAGCTCTCCCACTGCTTCTCAAACCCTGGCACGCTCGCCCTCTTGCCACCCGAGACAAGGACATGTTCTGAAGACCAAAGGTAGAGGAGTCCTACTTATAAAACAGAGCTCTGTCACAGAAGAGAACATTATGCATGATTTTGTTTCTGTAGAATTCCACAACGGACAAACTCATCGGAAGTGGCAGAAAGCAGATCAGTAGCTGTCTGAGGCTGGAGGGGGTTGTGTGAACTACCTGCCATGGTATATGAAGGGGCTTTGTGGGTGATGGAAATATCTTGATTACAGTGATAGTTACATAAGCGTCTATACTTGTTAAAACTCAACAAACTGCATGCAGGTGTGTTTTACTGTGTGTAAATTAAACATCAGCACAGTTGATTAAAGGTATCCAACTTCAGTATGGATCTACTTGCGGGAGTCTGCCTGTTGTAAAAGCATCATGTTGCTTTTCTTCCCTCCCCATTTCACAGAGGGACAACTGGAGGCAGAGGCCTGCCTGCCCGGGGAGCCTTCCTCTAAGGGAGGAAGCCTAGAGCCAGATCTCCCTGGATCCCGGAGTGCACATACTATACCACTCCTTTTCGATATTTGAAAGCCATCTGAAAATGTCCTCTGAGGACAGATACCTAGCTAATTCAACGTATCTACCATATGGTCTTTTGTTATCAAACAGAATCACATTTATGAAATATTTCAAGACTAGAGCTCCGTCAGTAAAATTAAGTACGTGTTACTACAACAGTTTGATCAAAAACTTAGGCTACAAGGGAAGTTTGTGCTTTCGAAGTCAGAAATTGCCAATGGTCTCTGCAGGTTCCCCAGGCTAGATCATTAAGCTCGAGCCTCTTTTGGCTAATTCCATTAAACAATTGCCAGGGGCTTTCTTTGACAATTAAAGGCCCTGGGTTAGAATGTTTTTTGTTAGATTGCAAATTGTAATCATTTCCAGAAGAGGACCCAGAGGCAGCCTTGCCCTAAACCAACTGAACAACCTCAAAAAGTGGTCTTGCCAGGCCCATTATGGGCGAAGGATGTAATGAGGCGCCTCCGGCAACTCCTCGTGCTGGCGTGACAGCTGCTGTGTGTTCCCGTTCTGAATCTGGCCCTTAATCCTCTCAGATGGTCTCTTTCAGCAAGGACCAGTTAAGACCAGACGACACTGAACCACTTAAGCAGATTCTGTGGGGGTGGGGGAGACAGGAGGACCTGACTAATTTCATTGAATTCCTAGTCTTCTCCAGCCCCGGTCCTCTGAACACCTGGCCTGGCCCTTGCTGGCAGCTTCTTCCACAATTAACTCAGGAGAGATGGGGAAGATCCAAGGATCAGGGGATTTCAGAAGCTCATACCTTTGCATCATCCAACAGAGGGCTTCCTGGCTCAGAGTCGATGGAATAGGGGGAGAAGCCAGCCTGCGACCCTGAGTCCGAGGCCGGAGGGGACATCAGAAGGACATTCTGATTAAAGTCATCGATCTTCAGCTCCACATCATTGTCCACCAGGCTGCCTAGGTCGATGCCCTTCAGGAGCTCTGCAAAGAAAACCACATCTGGCAAATGGTCTGTTTCTACAGAGCCCGCCTGGGCCAGGGCTGGGCTGGGTGAGGGGCACATGGTCCTTGCTCTTGCTTCACCTCTGAAGGCATCCTGTACACATCAGTGGGTCCTCCCCAGTGCCCAGCACAGGACTTCTACAACCGGAAGTGAGCTTACTCACTGTTTTTCTGATTTGCCAGCTTCAGCACCATGTTCTCCTGGCGCAGTTTATGATTAACCTGCTGCAGGTATTTGATGTAGTCAATGGCCTTCCTCAGGACGCCAGACTTGTGCATCTGGGAAGGAAGATGGGTGAAAAGACAGTGGCATCGCTGCAGGCTGCAGAGCGAGAGGGGAGAGACCCAGAGCTCATGGGGTGAAGGCGTGGCTCCAGGTTCAGATGCTGCCTCACTCACTGATTAGCTGTGCAACCCAGGACAAGTTACCCAACATCTGTGAACCTCATTTTCCTCGTCCTTAAAATGAGGATAATGATAATATATGAATCACCGGCTTGTAGTGAGGGTAAAATGAGATAATACATGTAAAGAGAGTAGCCCCTGGTCTGGTGCATAGTGACACTCGATAAATAAAAATTAGCTAGTACTCCCACTTCTTATAATAATCTTAGAACCAAAACAAAACTTTATTACTTTAATTTTTTAAAATTAAAAAATTAAATTTAAAGAGAGAGACAGAGAGAAAGTACGAGCAGGGGAGGGGCAGAGAGAGGAGGAGTCACAGAATCTGAAGCAGGCTCTAGGCTCTGAGCTGTCAGCATAGAGCCTGACGAGGGGCCAGAACTCACGAACCGTGAGACGATGACCTGCCGAAGTCGGATGCTTAACCGACTGAGCCACCCAGGCGCCGGGAACCAAAAGATGTTAAAGAAAACAAACGACCAAAGACCAGAGCATTGCTGGATAGCTACCTTAAGTAAAGTTATATTAGTACATTTCAGATCTATAGGCTACAAGGAATATAAAATTTTCTTTCAAAACAGAGATGAGGAAGCAAAAAAATAACAAGAAAAATAATTTAAAAAATAGAGATGAAGATAAACAGATAACAGGTAAAAAAACAAAACAAAACAAAACAAAACACCTACACGACAGAAGACACATTCATTGAAACACCAGAAATAATGAAAAATCTATTTCCTCTATTTGCTGTTAAAGACCCAATCTCTATTTTGTCTCCTCCCTCAAAGGTACGGTATTGCTAACCACCCTGAACACAATTAAACATATGGTGGCAACGCCACCAGCCGACTCCACGGTACACACAGTCCTGCATCTGCCTGCTGGTGAGCAGGGGGCAGTCCTCTGCCTGGGCTACAGGGACCCATGATCACTGCAAAGCAGTCTCAAAGGTCTAGGCAGGTCACTGCCTTTCCAATCCCCAACAGTTCCCTTATGTTGGTTAATATTTTATAATCTTGAAAAAACCCCAAGATGCTTTAATTAATAAGAAAGCACCTCTAAACCATCCTGATGTTCACTTCACTGGATCTGGGTCTTCCAAAATTCCCACAGTAAAGACCAGTGGAGGGCAAATTGTGGGACATGAAATACCATTTTGCTTGGCACCTACCTTGGCATCCGTCCCCATGACCAGGTCTTTCAACTCGATGATTTTGTCATTGATAGAGGAGCGATACCGCTTCTCAATGATGTTGTGAGTCGTCCGCCTTTCTCCTTCTTTGGGGGGCTCCAACTGCTTGACTCCCCCCGGTACCTGCTTAATGGGCACTTTCTCTTGCCCCATCATCACAGGCATTGTGGTCAAAATGGTCCCATTGCTGCCCACCAGAGTCTAGAACAAGCACAGACACGGGGCAGAGTTACCCCGTGGTCAGTCTGAGTAAAGCAACTTCACAGCACAAACCTGCTGGCTTTGGCCATGTGGCATTGCCTGGTCTGACCCCTCTCCTCAATTAAGTCAGGCCCCAGGAAGCTGCAAGAGCCATGGTACCTTACTTACTAGGCCCCTTTCAGAATCACTGTCAACAAACCACACCACAATAGGATTAACATGGATAAATAGGTTTCAACCTTTGATCTAGGGGTACCTGAAACAAGTCATATGATTTCTGCCTCGCGGGCAAACCATTAACCACCTCTGAGCTCGCATATAAGGAAAACTTACTCTTGGTGTGGGATACATCTTTTCCTTCCATATGACAGTGCAGTCACTTGCTGCATTTCCTAATATAATTCGGCCATCAAAATGCACAAGGGCAGAACTGACAGAGCCATCCTATTAGATAAGCAGGCCAACTGTAGAGGCCTTCCTCCTTCCCCCTCAGCTCTGCTTTCCTCTGTTTCTATTTTTACTAATTTTAGTTTTATCTTCTTCACTAAACGACCTCAATATCCAAACGGACAATGAACAAATAAGAAGCCACTCAACTTCACCACTCATTAAGAAATAATTCACACATAATAAAAAACACACATTTTAAGTGTGTGACGGAGTTTTATGTTTGGATACGATGTGTAACTAAGATAATCCAGACCAAGAAACAGACCATTTCTATCCCCTTAGAAAGTTCCCTTGTGCCTCTTTTCAGTTTCGCCTGTCCCTTCTCCCTCTTGCAGTCACTGCTCTGACCTCTGTCACCACAGCTTAGTTTTCCCTCTTCTTGAATTTCATATAAATGGAATCATCAGCATGAATTCTTTTGTGACAGGCATCTTTTTGCTCAACACACTGTTTCTGAGGTTCAGCAGCTGTATGTATCGATAGCTCTTTCTGGACGTGTGGGCTGTTTCCAGTTCTTGGCTTCTATGAATAAAACTTACTTCCAAATTCTGATCACCTTTGACTCTATTGGACTCTCCTGCCGCAAGATGCTGAAAATAGCTGTGGCCCTACAACCCAAGGATGGGTGCCTTCCATGTCCCTCACCTTGGAGCCCCTCCCTGCCTGGTGGGCCTGGGGGTCCTTCAGAAGCCAAAACGCCATCAGCAGGACCTAAGAGTCCTCCATACTGATGGCCCTGTATAGAGGTGCTGCCCAGGAACCGGGAGTTAAAAAAGACTAAAAGGGGGTATATTTGCAATGTGACACATTCCATGGAGCTTCTGCACCTGCCCACCCTGTGTAGAGGCTTTGTTAACATCTCTGAGGCCTAATGCCTCCAAGAAAGGAGGAGGAGAGGGGAGAAGGGAGGACAGGGAGGAAGGCAACTCTTACTGGTACTTGAAGGGCAGCTGTCTGGATGGGGGTGGTGAGGGCGGTGAGGGCTGGGTTCTGGACTGCGGCCATGACAGGGCTGCCATCTGTCTTTAGTGTGGTCAAAACAAGGGAATCTGTCTTGATGATCTGAGGCTGTACCAGGACCTGCACGGAGAATGAAGAAAAGGAAAAGGAAGGCAGTACTATTTTTCTATTTTGCCTTACTTTCTTACCACACAGAGACTCCCTCCGGGAAAGAATGAAAAAATAACATGTTCCTAAAACTGAGAACACAACTTGATTACTGGGTTGAGACGGAGAAAGAGTATAGCTAAAGAGGGTCCTGGGTTTGAAGGGTGAAAGGCTTCGAAGACGGCAGTGCCAGCACCTGGCAGGGGCAGAGTGGGGGGTGGTGGAGGGGAGGGAGGTCCGATTTTGAACAAACTCAGGAAAGCCAAAAACATGGCTGAGAAGCAGAAAGGAAGAACCTGGATTTTTTTTTTCCAAAGATTAATTAATGACCTTGGTAATAAAAAAATATGGTCCACTATGATACATGACTCAGAAATACCTTAGCACGCCTCTTTCCAGTTTTACACCCATCGGATGCTTAAGTATCACAATCCACCTGCATTTACGGAGGCTGTGAGGGCCAGTCTACACTTACAGATGAGACCTTAGCCAGGTCTCCATTCCGAGCTCACTGGTGCCTCACAGGGCCCAGGCACCCCAAATGCTGTTCCCTTACACTCCGCTGGTCCTTCTGAGTATGTGGACCACACCTTCAACCAAAGACCAGCCCCAACCGGTGCCTCCCTGGGTCCTCACCAGCCACCTACCGGGACCTGCTGCACCTGGGGGGCAGCAACTGTCTGTACCGTGGCCGGGGCGAGGGTCTGCAGCGTGCCATTGGCCGTCTGTGTCAGCACCCGCTGGGCCTGCACCGTCTGCACCTGCTGCTGGATGGTGACTGGCTGCACCTGGGAGGATGTCACTAGGCTTTGGACTTGAGGCTGAAGGACTTGGGAGAAGAGGAGGGAAAAGTCACATGGACGAGAAATGCACTCTGTTGTCACTGTAGCTGCAGTAATAACCGAGGACAGGGTGCCTCAGAACGCTCCCGACTCCCCACCTGCTCCTGAAGAAGATGTGCACGGCCATTTACAAGCTAATCTAGATAACAAGAACATTCCATGAGAGCTGCATCAATTTCTGAGAGAACCAGAACAGATTATTTTATTGCTCTGGGTGCTAGGGTGGAGGTGAGGGGAGCTAATCAGCAAATGACTGCACCCAGCAAGGGAGTTCACAGATACAGAGAACCAACAACTCCACGGGGCTTCACTTCCTCTCATGAAAAGAATGGAAAATGCACTTTGGGATGACGGTCTCAGCTCTTTGCTTTGCTGCCTCCCCACAGCCCCTAACCCCCCCGAAGCACATAGAACTGTCAGAGCCTTTGAAATTCAGAGTAATACCAATCCCGCCCAGGGCTCCCCAAAGGGTCGGAGGGAAATCTGATGCAAAGGCACTGGGCAAAGCACAGCAGAGAAAGCCACTCACTCGGCCCCCCCGCCCACGGAAGGCCTAGTATGAGGCCTGCTGCACGGAGACCTACCACCTGCTATGAGTCATATAGTCTCTGTAGTACGTGCTCAGGAGATGTTTGCCGAATGAATGGTTCTCAATCTATAGGTGCCAAGGGCTGGCTGGTGCTTGGGTCAGTTTCTAGACTCATTGTATTCCAGCCTGTAGCTCTAGTTACTAGCACAGCCCTGTGTCTACTATGCTTGTTAGATTCTTCGACCAAGTATCCTTGAAGCAGGCACAATAGATATTAAGGTATCTGAAGAGGCAGAATGTGAACGGTTCCTGTACCCACTGTCCTCACTGCCCATTGCCAAAAACTCCTTCAGACAGGGACCAGACCGATGGATTCTGTCATCCCCAAAAGGACAGAGCGATTTGCCTCGGAAGGTCTGCAAACTGGCACATAAACTTTTGAACCAACCAGTCACTATGGTATCTGACTTCTGAATCACCTTGAAAGCTGGTAGCTGCATTCTGGTATATCAGAGGCTGCTGGATGATCCTTGTCTGGGGAGCCGTGCTGAATGTCGGGGTGATCATCACCGTCTGCTGCTGCAGCTGAGCTGGAGGCTGGGGCTGGGGCTGGGGGCGGGGCTGAAGAACAGGAGTTGCCCTGGGTGGGGTGGGAACTGCAGGGGGGGGAACTTTGACCTGCAGGGCTGGAGCCTGGGGGGAAGCGGCTGAGGGAGAGAAGGAAGGTAGAGGGACCTGGCTGAAGGACCGCTGCAGGGAGGGGTCCACGGCTCCGCCCCCGCCATTGCCGCTGCCGCTGCCACCACTGCTGCCACCGCTGCCGCCACCCCCGCTGCCACTGGGGAAGGAGCCACACAGCTGCTCGGAGAACAAGTCAGGGAACTCTCCAACTTGATTGCTGACAAACTGCAGCATCTCTGTGAATAAATAAAAAGGGGTCATTCTATTGCCATCCAAAACATCTAGCAACTTTCAAATTTGCTTAAGAAATGGAGGCCTGCAAATCAAAAGGTGTTCCCAAGGCCCTCGCAGAAATGGGTCGGGGAAACCTCCCCCTGCCTCTTAGGAGGTGAACCACCTGGGCTGAGATGGCAAACCACACGGCAATAGGGCAGGACTTCATCTCTTGGATGTTCTCTCTCCCCACCCTACCTCCAGGCCCTTTCTACCAACTTTCCTGATCAGTGAGGCCAAACAAGAGCTATCTCTGTGCTGGGTGAGTATTGCTTTTGGAAGTTATTGCTGGTCTCATCTTACAGTTAGGGACACTGGGGCAGGAAGTGGGTAGTGGCTGTCTTAAGGCTTTGGAGCACCTCCAGTCTCTGGCACTGCTCTCCGCGGCAGAGCAAGAATGCGGGAGTCAGGCTCTCACCCCAGGCTGCCCTCCCTCCTCACCACAGGTTAAGCTCTGGGCCTTCTCTCCAAGAAAGGTACATCCCTGGGCACTGCTAGTACCCTCAGGAACACCCAGGGATGATGAAGTCATGGATCGTTAGGAGTGGAGTAGATGGAAAGATCATATATGAAGTCCACAACAGTGAAATAACTTGGCCAAGGTCCCACGGCTCATCAGGGCCCAGCGAGGATTAGAACCAGTTCTCTGCCTCCCAGCTTCCTGTTCTTCCACTGCACCACGGTGCACACATTGCCAGGTCAGGGCAGAGCAACCGCAGCCTTGGGCTCTATGCTCTAGGGGGCCCATCCCGATACTCCCCTGGTTGTGTCCCTTCTCTCTGGGCAAGGAGTCTGTGAGACCAAGGGGATGTCCACCTGGAAGCCATGGCCCCTGTCTAGATCATGCTCTAAGTACCTGGGACCCCTAAGTTCCCAGCCCAAAGGGCCTCAAGCCTGCCTCCAGGGCCTCTTACCCTAATTCGTCCTCCTCAAAACTTGCCCAAACCCAAGTTAATCCACAACTAACAAGTCATATCACGACTCCTTCCTCCCTTTAGGGCTGGTCCCCATTAGAAGTCTGGGGCCTTGGCTTTGTCCCAGGTATTTTCAGATGTACAGTTCTTTCCACTGTCTTCACTTCCTCCCCCTTCCAGTACGTCCCTAAGTGGCTACTGCTTGCCCCTGAACTGTACACCCTCCTCTCTAAACATTCAAGGCCGCATGATGCTCTTAGTCACCAAAATTCCCCAAACCAAAAAAAGCCACTACTTCTTTTCACTCCCCCAAACTGTCCACCAGCAAGAACCTCCCAGGTCTTTAACAGTGCGTGTGTACACGCTCTATATGGAGGTAGTGGGTCTGGGCTACAAAGAGTCTTATGTTAGGCAAGCAGAAAGCTACTGGAGTTTCCAGGGTGACCATACAGGACTGAAGCTCAGCAGTTCGACCTGCTGGCAAAACAGCATCTCGTAAGATTAAATGACTACGTAGTGGTATTATTTACCAACACCTCAACACTCTGCTGCGTCCCCTCTACACTCAGCCTGTTGTATGTGGGAGGGAGAAATGGGCACATTGCCACGTTGTAACTGGTACCAACCAATTCCAATTCCTCGTCCAGGAATTAAACTAAGAAATGTCCTGAAACTCAGCACAAAATTTAAACAAAACACCATTTAGTGCTGACACATTCCAAGGACAACACAAGATTTCTAAAAAATTTTTAAGAAAATGCTTAAGAGAAACCTAGTAATCTGCTGAGCTTCCCAGAGTTCCCATAAAAATCCCAACTCTGGGGAATCAACACAGAGGCCTGGTTTGTGAGCCAAAAGAACATCACATCCATAGAAAGCTAAGGTGGACACAAGGCAAGAGAGGCCAGAGGTCTGGTAGGTGGGCACGGGCTTTGGTACTAGGTGGGTCTCAGGAGGCCACCTAGTGTGTGACGGGTAAGTCACCCTTCTACATCCTGGCTTCCTCACCACAAAAGGCTGCCTTAAGAATACTCACTCGGGGGGCGCCTGGGTGGCTCAGTCGGTTAAGCGCCCCACTTCAGCTCAGGTCATGATCTCATGGTTCGTGAGTTTGAGCCCTGCGTTGTACTCTGTGCAGACAGCTCAGAGGCTGGAGCCTGCTTCAGATTCTGTGTCTCCCCCCCGCCCCTCCCCCGCTTGCTCGCACGCACTCTCTCTCTCAAAAATAAACATTAAAAAAATTAAAAAAGAAAAAGAATACTCATTCCGTTTCTTTGTTGTAAGGATTAACAAAGATAATTTGTGCAAAATGCTTGGCAAGGGGCAGACCCTTACAAAGGTCCCTATTAGTGGCAATTCCAGAGCACCTACTGCCTGGGCAGTTGGCTCCCCGATCCCATCTGGTTGAGTGCTCTCCAAAGCCTTTCGTGGAGAAAGGCAGGGGCTGACACAGTGAAGTAACCTGCAAAGGTCACAAAGCTTGTTCACAAAGCAGGTTAAGAGTGTGTAGGCAGATGGGATGCAACTGCTTAAATTAAAAAAATAAATTCTTTTCAACCCCCACACGACAAGCTCCAGTGGTGTTATCTGCAGCCAGGCAGACAGGCGCTGGGTTGAGTGGCGCAGGGGGGCCCATTAAGACCAAGCGTTTGAAGGAAGAAGTAATGGGAAGAGGCTCTTTGAGCCCCTGCTCCAGCAGGGCACACCAGGCCTCCCCGGAACCCCATCTGGTCTGCAGTGACAGAGACGGGGAGGCCCTGCCAACCGGAACAAGGCCTGGAGAACCAGGGCGCAGGAGGCCCACCCCGGGTGCAGTTTTGTGCTAAAGTTCCAGGCTGTACCCTGTGGGAGCATCGTAATGCCTCATGTTCCCCACTCCGATCACTGGAGTGCTGCAATCACACAGGCTCTCATTTCCGCCGAGAGCCATGAAACCCAGAAAAGGGAAGCCTGGAGAAGGCACAGGTTTTATGGGGCTTTGAAAAATGAAGTTCCAGGGGCGCCTGGGTGGCTCAGTCGGTTAAGCGTCCGACTTCAGCTCAGGTCACGATCTCGGGGTCCATGAGTTCGAGCCCCACGTCGGGCTCTGGGCTGATGGCTCAGAGCCTGGAGCCTGCTTCCGATGCTGTGTCTCCCTCTCTCTCTGTCCCTCCCCCGTTCATGTTCTCTCTCTGTCTCAAAAATAAATAAACGTTAAAAAAAAAAAAAAAAAAGAATAACTGGATGTTAAAAAAAAAAAAAAAAGAAAAATGAAGTTCCAGAAACTGCATGGTGAGTGGAGGGCCAACCAACTTGGGTCTCCTTGGAGCTCCAGGCCTGCAAACTGTAGCTTACCTGATACCGATGCTCCTGGCGGTTACCCTCTCCAACTAAGCCACAGTCCTGGTTTTTTCTTTTGTTTTTTGTTTGTTTTTAGTTTATTTTTTGAGAGAGAGAGAGAGAGAGAGAGAGAGCGAGCGAGCAGGGGAGGGACAGAGAGAGAGGGGGACAGAGGATCCGAAGCAGGCTCTACACTGACAGCAGAGAGCCCAATGTGGGGCTCAAACTCATGAACCTTGAGATCATGACCTGAGCTGAAGTCGGACACTTAACTGACTGAGCCACCCAGGTAACCCCCATGTTTTTTTACAGTTTATTTATTTATTTTTGAGAGCGAGAGAGAATGCACCAGCAGGGGAGAGGCAGAGAGAGAGAGGGAGAGGGAATCCCAAACAGGCCCTGCGCTGCCAGCACAGAGCCCAAGGCGGAGGTTGAATTCATGAACTGTGAGATCAGGACCTGAGCCGAAGCCAGAAGTCAGGCGCCTGACTGAGCCACCCAGGTGCCCCCACACTCCTGTTTTTTAGGTGCTTCTTAAAGGGATAAGTTTGCTTAATAAAGTAACCTGGGCCCCAAGAAACTACACCTGGGTTTTGGTCCCTTTAAAAGCAGGTAACCAAAATCAGAGGCTGCAGCTATCGCCTGTGCATTGCAACAACTCTGGAGCCTCATCCAAAGACACCCCAAGTTCACACGCACTTAATGGAGCTTGCAACCTGGAGGTAACATAAAGCACTCTGTCCAGCCCAGCTAGCAGGATCTACCTGAGAGTGAGGTGACCTGAAATCTGGGCAGATTAACTTTGGTCAGGAATAAAGAATTTAAAGCCCCAAATGAGGTAACATGGCCTCCAAACTGCAGTCAGCCAACAATCCTTTAGTGGCCATTTGCTACTTAGCCCAGTTAGGTGCTGAGAGCACGATTTTACAAAGTAGGTCATTTATTCTTATATTTTGTATTTATTACCCACCTTGTGTTAGATAATGTTTGAAAGTAACTGTCTTTTTTAAAATTGTAAAAGTGGGGCACCTGGGTGGTGCAGTAGGTTAGTGTAGGACCCTTGATCCAGACTCAAGTTATGATTTCAAGCTCGTGAGTTCAAGCCCCACATTGGGCTTTGTGCTGATGACGTGGAGCCTGCTTGGGATTCTCTCTCTCCTTCTCTCTGCCCCTCCCCCGCTTGTGCATGTGCACACTCTCTCAAAATAAACGTAAAAAAATTAAAAATAGAATAAAACTGTAAAAGTAACATTCACCACAGAAAATTCCAGAAAATAATTAAATGAAAAAGTCACCCAGCCATTCCACCTCCCTGAGACATCCACTGTCAATGTTTCCATGTGTCCTTTCTACACAAGCATGCATGTGTGTGTGAGCAGTTTTACAAAAAAGGGGTCACACTGAAGATGTTATTTTGTACCCTCCTCCCTTTGCTTAATAAAATATGAAAAGTATTCCATGTCAGCCATGATGGATAGAACGTGATGGTTTGGGAGAGCCCCACAGCACTGTCCATCAGATGGCACACAGCCTTCCGTCCATCACTTCATAGTAACTCAGAGGCTGTGACTTCTAACGCCCAGTTCCACAAGCAAACCTCAGGTCTTTCTAAAGGTAAGGGGCCCTATTTATTGTGGTATTTATGTACTTCTTAGCCACTTCGTATCTGTAAAACAGAGCTGTTTTGTTAGGTTCCTTCCCTAGCTCTTAGTCTTTTTATTTTCTCTATC